TCCAAAAGCTAAACTCAAGATGAAAAGTACAAGAGAGAAATGTTTTAAGGTGAAAATTCTGTGAAAAACGAGGTCTGAATCCCCCCAAAAATGACCTAAGCTTCAGCAAATAACATTCCAAATTCGAAATCACGGAAATCGCGCAGCTGTTACAAAACAGACCTTAGCGGCGCTAAGGGTTCTTAGCGCCGCTAAGCCACCTTAGCGGCGCTAAGGGTCCTTAGCGCCGCTAAGCAAGGTAAGCTGCAGCTGTCTGTCCCGTTGTACTTCAAAGCGGCGCTAACAGCTATGGCCTTAGCGGCGCTAAGGCATCTTAGCGGCGCTAAGGCCCAGAAGATCAACATTGCTGCTTTTTCTTTGGTTCGTGCGCTCGTCTATGTCGCTCGGGTACTGCCCGAGCTGGGAACTCAACTTTTGCATGCCCGATGCTCGAACAACACACTTCCCTATTTGCCAGAGTGCTCTTCCTCCAATCATCCTAAGACCTGGAACCAACACCACGGGAAAGAAAAACACAAAAAAAACGAAGAAAATAGGAACGAAAATAGAGAAAACACTAAACACACCGAAATAAAGAAGAAAGCATAAGAAAGGACAAAGAGGACCGAAAATACCTACGAAGAGACCTAAAATGGGGGAAACGACACACAGGAAATCAACGAAAATAGCAACAAAAACGGGACAAACAACCCCCAAGAGCTCCATGCAGTACGCCTGACATGTGACAGTTTCGAGGTACGCGGTGACTATCGCTCCGTCCACAGGAATCCCTAAAATGACCCTCACGTCGTGCAGCAGTATACTCATTTCACCAAAAGGCAGATGAAACGAGTTCGTATTTGGCTGCCAGCGCTCCACGAATGCACAGAGAAGTGGAGTGTCGACGTGAGTATGCATACAGAAGGCCAAATGTGACATCCTGGTGTCACGGATCAGGGCGCGCGGAGCCGGACTCATCTCGTTGAGCCAAATCTTTAAAATCTTGTACGCTGTCATCCTATTTTAGCATTTCAACATGCCTCTGAATTCTCCTGCCCACATCTTAGAGGCTACGTGCCCTAGAAAGCTAGGGGATCACACTCCCGTCAACGGGGCCACTGGGCACTGGTTCTTTGACGATCTAGTCGTCACTCTTAGTGCGTTTGCTACTCGCACCTGTATTAGAATAGAACAATCAGTATATATACGACATATTATGATTGAATGTATCAATGACACGCTATTGTCAAATAAAAAAGTATCTAATGGTGGTTCTGAAAAAAAGAACCGGTCATCGACCCGGTAAGGTACTGATCGAACCAACGGTCGAACCGGTTTAATTAATATAAAATTTTTTATTTATTTTATATGTATATTATATATTTATATATTTTCTATCATTAATTTTATTAATT